TAAGTATTTTGGATGTTCATTACAACACTACCCTGTGAGGACATGGCGAAAATGCCTAAACATTTATGATACAGGAAGATTAAATAAATGGTGGCTGCCTGTAAATTGAGTAGTGTGTTTCCATTAAAAAGTCATTGTCACAAGAAATAAGAAAATAATCCCAATATAGCATTAAGTAGAAAAGTCAGGATATAAAATGTGTGCACTATAAACAGCAATTTAATAAATATACGTGTCATTATCTCTATCTCTAAGGAGGGAAGGGGGGGCATAAAGAAAATGCACCAGAAGTGTTAACAGTATTTATTTCTTGATTCAGAGATTATAGCTGACTTTTATATTCTTCTTTTCATTTATCTGGACTTTCTAAACATTTTACCCTAAATGAGCCTATATTGATGAAATGTTACTTAAACTGAAATACTTAATTGCACCTTTTCCTTATCCCTTCACTCAGATGCCGCAGCAGTGTTTGTTTCGGTTCCTGGCTCTGTCAAAAGCAGTTCTGCACAAAGGGTCAGAAGGCTGACGTTTTACTTGGGAAATAACACTGTGAGAATGTTAATCCATGAAGAGATTCAAGTTGATTTCTCTTCCACGACTCACCGTGCACAGCCAGGAGTCTGGCTGGGAGAGGCTTAATAGAGACGCCACGCAGTTCTCAGGCTGGATCCTCCCAGCCCACCTCCGCCCACACCCCTCCTCTCGACCTGTCCTCTTGCAGGCTCCTGGCACCAGCTGCTGAAGCCACCAAGTACCACCAGCTTCTGCCTTGTTACCAGAGGGAGCCTGACTACTGTCTGGTGCCTTTTCAACCTGGCCTCACCGCTTAGAACTTCTGAACCCGGAGAAGATGGGAAGATTTGTAGCACCGTGTCGCAGACCTGGGCGAGAATGTTAATGATGTACTTCCAAGCCCAGGGAGGACTGGGGTCCTACAGCGTGACAATCACTGCATGATGAGCTATTATTACTCCATGAATTATCAGCAGCCACAAGTCCCTCCCAGGGACGTGACATCCAGGGGAGCATTTGATTCCTGTCCAAAGCCAGCTTTTATGAAGAATCAAAATTGGCACAGAAGATAGAAGTGCCTTAAACTCATAAAGGAGAATGAAGCACTCCCATTTCCCTGGGTAATTGCTGGAACGGAAAGGCTGAGCCAAGGGCAGTGCTGGAACTTCAAGCTAGCAGGCTGCAGGCCAACAGAAGGGACCAGGACATCCTGACACCTAATGCTGGCTGGGGGTGAGGGGTGGGGATTGGAGAGGAATGTGAGCCGAGGTGAGCAAGAGAGTCACAGAAGGGCATCACCTCAAGTTCAGGGAGGATGTTCTGGGTCCTCTGACACCCCACTCACCACCCCTAGGAAATCTGCCTTCCAGCCCCAGCATAGCCACATGCTTGTCGGTGCTACTTAATTGAGTCTCTCCAGTCTCTGGACCTCACTTTCCATACGAGAGCTGTGCAGAAAACCACAAAGATGCTAGGATGGGAGAGGCTGTGGAGGGAGCCTCAGGACTCCCTACCCCAGTTCCCTGCCTCTTGCAACCACCACGTGTGTGCTTCTACACCTGTTTAATATAATTGGGTACCCAGGAAGATTCTGCTGGGCCAGACTTGTTAAGGCTAAGAAAAAGCACCCCTGGACTAAATACTTCCTCAGCCTCTCTTGGTCCTGATTTGATTCTCCTCTATAGAAAGAAACAGAAAACAGCCGTGTTCTCTCTCTCGTGCCAAACTGGGGTCTCCTTCAAATGTGGATGGCAAGGCATGAAGCAAGCCCACAGGCTTTCCAGAGGCTCCCACCCACTTCCCATCCTCCTGCCCCAGCAGACTCGCCGCCCTCCACTGACTGGTGAATCAGGTGCCTGCCACCCATGGGAAATGAGGCTCAAAGGCCTGCGGGCAGTTGGCAATTGTCCCAGGGTTTCACTGCACCAGAGACCCTGTGTTCGTGGAAGAGAAAGAGTCCCTGATACCAGTGTCATTAAGACAGAGAGAGACGGGCAGCCAGCAATCAGGTCATGGGAAAACGCTTCCTTGGGGCTGTACATGGTATCACTATCCAGGCTCATCGCGCTTGTGGAAAGACAGACAGTCGTGCTTTCCTTCTACCACTGACCACACCAGCACCAAAACAGTCCTGAAAATAAAGTCTCATCAGAGGTGAAGCTCCGCAAATCACTCTCAACCCTTGGTCTTTATCAGGAGTGGACATATGCTCCCAGGCACAGAGCTGAGGTGGGTAGGCCCCAGAACACTGAGCTGAGTGATCCAAACGCACCTGCTCAGGGCTGCAGAAGGGGCCTCCTGCCTCTGGCCTCGAGCTTTGGGACAGTGAGAGGCCGCAGTCTAGGGCACTGTGAGGCAGGAGGCTGCATTCGAGGCCTGCCTGTGCCTCTCTGCTCTCATAGGGTCTGGGGTACATATGCTCAGGGAAGGCACACAGCCCCGTGTGCCTGAAGCTGATGCCCCTGCCACCTGGGATTTCTCAGTGCCAAGTGGTACACAGTGTGATTGCACTGACTGAGCCCTCTCTATTCAACAAGTGGGCTCCTGCTTCCTGCATCTTCCATCTGAGGAAATGATGGTCCAGAAAAGGGAAGCAGCTGCAAAAACTCAGGAGAGGCAGAGACAGGACTGACACAAACGCCCTGAGTCAATGTGACAACATACGTATAACACAGTAGATGCTCAATAGTTCCCTCTGTGCTTCCTCTTGTCCTGCACCAAACTGCTGCCCACATACTCCCACCTTTGGAAACTTTACTACAGGTGACTTCCAACAAATCTGTCCCACCTCATGTCATGAGCTAAGGACATTGGCATGGATAAGCTCATGGGACCCTCATTTGGAGTTTCCTGTCTGAGCAAAGAGGAACAAAGACAAGTAAAAATTTGTGGGGCTCCTGTTATAGTCTGAGACATGAACAAACATGCCTCCAATAGGAAGAAGCATGGACCCTCCCCTCCCCCAAGACAAATGTCCAGCCAGCTCCTGTGGGAGCTGGGAGGGGCTTTCCAGAAACCCCCATGCCTGATGGCAGACCCAGGCCAGATAGCTCCAAGTACAACACAGAGACCATTAATATTTTGCCTGGAATTACACAACAAGCTGGTGACACAGACCTTTGATTTTGCCATCCAGTGCTCCTTCAAGGAGATTGCACTTCCTGTATGAGATAATTTAATTAGTGTTTGTCCAGCACCCTGCAGTGACAGGCGATCACCTACTCCTTTCGTCCTATGGAGGGGCTGAGTAATCCACAGTCTCTTGATGCCACTTAATCTAAAACTGGGTGACTCACCCTCCCTGAGATTTCCCTCCAGCGCATTTAGTTTAAGAAAATAGCCAAGTGCTCCCTAATTTAAATGATTCTTCTTGGTTTAAATCTTAAATAAACTACATGGTCTTTGGTTTTGTTTGTCACAGTTTTCGTATATATGTATATGGTATATATAATATTTGCAGGGGGCCCCTGACTCTGCCCAGCATGGTGGCAGCCAGTGGGCTGCCCAGTTGGCTTTTCTAGCAGCTCTGCACCATGTGTGGCCTCAGAGAGCTGTGATCTTGCACTACCTTTGTGTGGCTCAGGACTCTACCCTCAAACCTGCCACCTACCCTCAATTATTTTTTTCGTATGTGAATATTCTTTATTTTTAAGTCACCCTGATTTTCCAACCTCCCCTCCTCCCCCCACAGCCCCATCTTCCACCAGGAACCACAGCTCAGCCCTGCCTTCAAATGCCACCCTGCAAGCAGGACACCCTGCCCTAATCCTGGCTTCATCCCGAAACCTCCCAGACCTCGCTTTAATGGGCCCTGGGCCTGAATAACAAACATTTGCAATGGTAAATCCATTCTCTGCTTTCCAGATAACTTCTCCTTAACAGCGATAAGCTGCCAGGCAGACAGATAACAACTGGGATATGCAGTTATTAAGGGCAGATTTTTAAATGACAAAAGGATACATTTTAAAATAAAGCCCACTTGAAAATCAGCTTCCCTTCCAACTCAATTACATTCAGTCTGCCTGCTCAGAAGCTCTTTATACCGAGAGATTCCAGCTCCCATTGGCTTCGGGGTTTTGAGGAGCGTTGCCTTGGCAACACAGAAGGCCCAGACACCTGAAGCAGGAAGCAGAGGACACAGCAGCTCCCCATCTCTCTCGGGCACCAGCACCCAGCATGGCCAGGAGGGCACCGTGCATGGGGTTCCAGGGTCAGCTGCCTAAGAAGAGGCAGGGGCCCCCACAGCCAACATACCCCCCACTGCGGGGACCTCTGGTGTTACAGCTGATCTGAAAGAAGGAACCAGCCAGCAGGGCCTAACTGTCCCCAGAGGAACTCCAGTGATGGAGGCAAGTACCCGAGCACCGTGGCCACTACACTCTGCAAGTTCCTTTCATACCAGAGTGACTGAAAGAGCTCCTCTGTCCTGGTTTCCCCTAACCAGGCAGGAGTCCCAACGCAAGCCAATTTCTCTCATGGTCGTCGCCCAGACAGCCCCAGCCACCCACCCAGCCTCACAGCTTTGGGCATCTCTCACAGACATCATAGGCTGGCCCTGACTCCCTAGACATCGCTGGTCACACCCAGGTTATCACAGGATAGCTGTTGATCCCCTATATGATGCCACAAACAAGAGCTCCAGAATGTCATCAAGCCACGTGTGTCAGCCACTTATCACAACCAATTATCGAGGCTCCCTTTATTTATATGACCAACCCATGACTCTATCTTCCATCACATGACGGGCTGAAAGTCCCCTCCCCTCCCCGTCACACATGGACCCCAGGCCACCCCTGCCTTTCCCTGAGGAGCCAGCCTTCCTCTCCACGTTGTGGGAGCTCATTACTTGCAAGGACTGTCCTTCATGTCCCGGGCACTGTCATTGGTAGAGACAGCTTCCTCCAAGTGTATAGAAATGTACGTGTGTGTGGTTACACGTGGCTGTGCCTGGTTGTGTGCTGATCAGTTAATGCTGAATTCTTTCCTCAGAACACAGAGCCCCCGTGGCACCTTTGCACCATGAGTGCTCCCATCTCTGGCCCCGACAGCACACGGGCCTCCAGTACAGGCTCTCTGTGGGCGTGTGCATCCGAGCCACCTGGGTTGGCCAGGCCCTGGGCAGTCACCACTGCCCCTACCGGCACCCCCACCATCGGCTCATGCTGGCTCACAGCGACCACATCCGAGGTCCCTCATTTGGACAACTGTTCTAACCCCTGCTTGCCATGTTCACCTCTTGGTCCCAACCCCTATTATACTCTTCACAGGCCCCCCTTAACTTTAGGGGTCCCCACTCCCTGCTATCTTTTATCCTGGAAAACTGTCCGCCATCCCCCATAAGAGGAGGAAGAGGAGCAAGAAGAGGCAACGTATCCCTGGAAAGCCCCCCAGGCCTGCCATCCGCATCAAGGCGGAATAAGCGAGCCGAACCCTCCCCCTCCCCCCGTTATTCAGCTCGTCCTCCCACTGGCTCCCCACGTCCCACCCTCCCGGTGCTGTGTTTCTCAGCTTATGGCCGTTCCTCACTCTTGGATCTGGACGACATGGCACTCGCTGGCTGGAGCCTGGCTCCTGCCTCAGCCTCCACTCACATCTGTCCCCACAGCTGGAAAACAAGTTGCCCCTCCCAGGCTCCAAGAAAACAAGTTGCCACTCCCTGGTCTAAGCAGCAGGACCCAGTTGTTACAGGGACCCCCGCTGTCTTCAAAGAGACTGCGTTGGCAGCACCTCCTGTGTGCAAGCCTCTCTGTGCCTTCGCTTCAGCATGCCCCATAAATGCCAGCATCAAGGGCAGCAGCAGCAGAGAGAAAGATGAGGAGAGGGGACTTCTGTGCTAGGTAACACTTGCTGGGTGCACAGCCTCCCCACGGCTATGCCTAGTCTTTCATGGCACCGCAGCAGCAAGATCGGGAGGTGGGGACCGGAGGCTTACCTTGCGCATGTCTTTGCCAAAGGTCTCGCTATAGGTTGTGCCAAGGATTTCAAACTGGACGTAGGGATTCGAGCTGTCCTCCCGAAACTCCATCACCCCTGTGAGGCCCGTGATGTGGCCCTGCAGGACAGGAGGAAGAACATTGGAGGGTGGGGAAAATATGACTGGGGTAGAGGATGGAGTCCCAAAGGCTAGGAAGCAAAAGAAAGTGGTCACCAAGAAGGGGCAGCCAGGGTCTTGAGGAAGCCACGGACAGGCTGTAACAAGGACAGAGTTGCAGGCTGTCCCAGGGCCCAGAGCAGGATCAATAATACCCAGGCCATTTCTCACAGGGGAATCCCTAAGGTTTGTACCTGTGGTTCATGACTCAATATGTTTAGAGCCACTGCTATGTGCCAGGGGCTACCCTAAGCCTAAGATTAAAGAGTGACAGCCTTGACCCTACCCTCCTGCAGCTTAGTCTTCTCCTGCAACCTGCTCCACGGGCTTACGTTAGCCTGACCCAAGAGGGAAGCAAAGGTCACCAGGAGCCATAGCAGACATATGGCAGTAAGTTCCAGGGCAGCAAACAGAAGCACCGGAGGCCAAAGCCCAGCTCAGTCCTGGCTCTGCTACTGCCACCCAGGGCAGGCCATTGCCCAGCTCCCACTTCTGCCTGAAGTTAATTAGATCCATGTCACGGAGCCTGCAGAGATTGGTGGAGGAAATGTGTATAATGCACATGTGTGGTGCAGACTGGCTGTGGGGGCTGCCAGCCCTGCGCCTCTCTAGGGGGTCGGTGGGACCCATAGGAGCAGCAGACAGTGGGGGCACTGAGTGCTGAGCCCCCTTCTCTCTTCAAGCCTGGGTGGGGTCTCATCCTGTTTTATCTCCTGTAGACTCTGACTGGGAGAGACCTAGAAGCTGAGCTGGACCAGGAGGGGCCCCACCTCTGTCTGGGCTGCACTAGATTCAAACTAGCACCAGAATATGTTCATTTCTATTGAAACCGTGCACAATTGATCACTAAAACTCCTAACACTATAGATATCCCTAAATGCTCTTTTGAAGCCTCTAAAAGCCAATTCACTCTAACAAGTCTTCTGTGAATTACCCAATTCAGTTTAAAACCAGGCTTCTAACTCGGTGTCACTCCTCAACACATGGGACAAGTGCATATGCACACAAACACATGCTCTGAGGTCCTAGCTGATCAGCACATGGCAGTGCCAACTGAGACCACCTCTCTTGTGCAGAGCAGCAGCCTGCATGGAGAGGTATCTGGCAGACATGGGGCAGGCAGCTGCCTCCCTTTTTTAGTTCCTTGTGACCTTGGGCAAGTTACTTAGGCTCTCTGAAGCCCAATCTCCTTATATTAAAATGGAGACAATAATAATAGCACATGTCCATGGACCAAAGCTCGCCCAGCCTTCAAATGCTGGACAGGAGAGAGGCCTGGGGAAGGGTCTGCCGGGGCAGCCACACACAGAGCCCACCTGCAGGCTGCCTGCTGGCGTGGCAGAGAGTGGAGGCATGAGGAGGGGCCTGTCTCCAGCCTGAGCCCAGGAGGTGCCCCTCACACACACCTTTTTGATCGTGTCCAGCATGGACCTCCCTCCGTTCCATGGCTTGGTGGACTTGCGTATGCAGTTGAGGCTGGCCATGCTGTGCCACTTCCGGTCCTCCAGCTTCCTGTGGAAGGCGTTGGCCAGCATCAGAACGCTGTCGTACAGGTAGAGGTTGGAGATCTGCAAAGATAGAGACAGTGAAATCCTTTTTGCTGGTGTATTTCTAAAGAGAGTGGGAGACACCAACAGAGAGCTGGGGTGACACAGGACACCAGCACTGAGACATGGCACCCAATATCAATGCCAAGTTCCTCTGGCTTCAGTGTTCATTCAAAAACACAGCCAGATGCTGGAGTCCTGAGAAGAATAAGACCTAGCCCTGCTTCAGGACCTCAAGGGGAAGGCAGATTCGTACATCAGCAAGGGAGCCAGCATGATCAGCACCAGGATGAATGTGCACGCTGGAAGTTACATGCACAGGTAACCAAGGCCGGAGGCAGGGATGAGCAGAAAGCTCTGTGTGGAAGGATTAGTAGGATTGAGGGAGGGCATGGCATTTGCTAAGGCAAAAAAGTGTCAAGGATCAGGGCCGGTGAGGGCAGGGCCCACCAGGGTTTTCTGTAAAGAACCAGATAGAAAAAATTTAGGCTTTGTGGGCCTTGCAATCAGTCTCTTTAGCAACTGTTCAACCCTGCTGCAATAACCTGAAAGCAGCCATGGACAACACTTAAACAGAGGGGTGCAGCTGTGTGCCAGGAAAACATTATTTACCAAAACAGGCAATGTGCTGGATCTGCCCCAAGGGCCATAGTTGGCCAACCCAGGGACCTGGATCAGAGAAACAGGAAATGGTTCATGATGACCTTGCCAGTGGGTACAGTAGGGCCACGGCTGGATCAGGAGGGAGGCAGCCTCATGGGATGTGCAAAGGAGTAACAACAGGGTGACTTTAGGGAAAAGGATGTCATTGGTGAGTCTGTGCACAGAAAGCCGGTGATCAGCCCTGGGCCTCTCAAAAGGCACCTGGGTGGGCCTAGGGAAGGTGGTGACCTGAGTGACCACGTGGCAGCAACGACGTAGTAAACAGTGGTGGAGGTTCTGGTGGCTGCTGCACAGTGGAGTCACAGCCACCTGGGGAGCACGTCTGAGATTTGCAACTGTGCCCCTCTGAGAACTACCCGTCTGCACAGCTGTCTGCAGTGAAGCTGGGCTCTGGAGGGGACACAGCCTCATCTCGGAGCTCTCGAGAGCAAGGCCATGAGCGAGAAGCTGGGATAATTGTGGGAAGAGTGGCCTTGCAGCGTGCGGGCAACCACCTGTGGGACCTGGGGTGGGACAGGTCTGGCTCACCCCCGTGACTGTGATCAGACAAGCAGGAAGGCCAGCACCTGGAGCCCTCTGCAGTGAGGCGGGCAGCCCTGCTCTGGCACGGTACCCTCACGCCACCCACTGCTCCAGGGCAGCAGCAGAGCACGCAGGAGAGGAGGAAGAGAGGAGGGGGAGGGGAGGAAGTGCCCCCTCAGTCGGGCTTGTGGCCCCTCACTGACAACTGTTGCACAAACTACCGTCGGCCAAAGTGGGTCAAGGGGACCATTCTCTAAACACCTAAGCAGCAAGTAGTGTGCTAAAAATATTTCAGAAAAATAAAATCACCGGATGGAAATGGAAGACTGTTGGCCTCACAGGACTCCTGGAAAGATCAAATAGGCTCCTTGAGCGGCAGGAAGAACCCCTCTGTCCCCAGGCTCACCTCCCGCCCCCCACCATGCCCCACACCCAACACCTCCGTGCCTTGTTCTCTGTTTGCACTTTCTCTCCTCACATGTCTCAGTCTGGGTGCCCCGAAAGCACAGGCCCAGACAAGAACGTGGGTGGCGGAAGCCCCTGAAGCTGAAGTCAGAGGTGGCCAAGGGGGCATGGCACAGGGCATCAAAAACATCTGCTGTCGTGCCTGTCCAGCGGCCCCTGCTAGCCCTTGAGGGTCATTTCCACCATGACACATCCCTGCAGGCATCCCTGTGCACTGGCTATTGCTGAAGAGCTCTGTCCTGTCCTTGCTGTGACCACTGTAGGCTGTGTGGTTAGTGCCTCTCCACACTGCAGGTATGAGAAGTGGGTGGAGCGCACACAGAGGTTGCAGAGGCGGCAGGAGTGTGCCCAGATGACTGACCACTGCTGCCCAAAGCAAGGCCCCAGGCCAGGGCCAGTAGCACGTCAGCGCCTGGGTTGACCCTGCTCAGGGTCCTGCAGCACACAGGTGCCTGCCTGACAGCGGAGAGGAGAGTTGTTCCCTCCACCGGGAACTTGCCCCGATGCCACAGAGAACACCACGACAGAACAGTGTCCCATCCCGTGAGGCCTGGAGGAGCATTTCCTCAATGAGCAAAACTAACCTGCTCCCTGTTTCTGTCAGCTACCCAGGCCTCAGGAGCCCTCGTGGCTGCAAAATTGTTTTGACATGTCTTCCTCGCCTCTGGAATACAAACCCATAATGGAGATGTCATTATTAGGGAATATAAGTCACTTAGAGTTGGCTTCATTTTTTTTTTTTTTCCAAAAGGATAACTCAAAGCCGAGAGTCCTTGATGATGTGAAGATTTCTCTTCTCAAAACATTTATGGATGTCCCAGCCACCCACTCACAGCTGATGCTACTTAGCCAGCTGGGATCCGCTGACCCACACCCCCACCTGCACACCCACTCGCACAGCAGGGCAGATCCCGCAGCACCTCCTCAGCGGTGGCCGACAGGAGCACCCAGCGGAATTGCCTGTCTTCCCTCCAGAACGTCTATTCACAATGAATTAAGGTACTTGACAAACATATGAATGTGGAGTGGCCTGCAGTGAACAGGGAAAAGCAGGATGTGACTCAGAAAGGCCAAAGGAAGCCCTCCGTCCTCCCACGAGGACGTCTGCATGGAAGGGTGAATGCATTCCAGTTCAAAGGAGCAGGCTGAGCAATGCTCTTTTCCAGGCTCGGACAGGCCTTCCCACTGCTCCCATATCACCCTCGCCATGCTCTGCACCATATACTGTACACTGTCCATTCAGAAAAGTGATTTCCTCACCAAACTCTGAGCTCCTTAAGCGCCACCCAGCGCCAACAAGACACATGGCTGGTGCTTCATGGATGTGTGATGGATGAATGCACGGTGGATACGTGTATGTGTGGATGGGGTGATGGATGGATGGATGGGTGTATGGGTGGGCGGATGGATGGATGGATGGGTGGATGGATGGATGGATGGATGGAGTGATAGATGAATGAATGGACAGATGGATGGAAGAATGGATGGATGGATAGATGAATGGATCTCCTACTAAAAAGATACATGCTAATCATGTTTCACAAAAACAGAAAATACAGAAAACAAACATCAGGAAAATGAGATTTTCTGCCTCCAACTTTGACTTGAGAGGGAGCTTCCTTTGTTCACACAGTAATTTGCTTCTCATTTATAGCTACTCAAAATGTCTTTTTGATCCTCCCTTGGAGCTGATTCCATCTACTCCACTTTCTCCTGCCCTGTCTCCTGGCAAGATGCTGTCTCAATACTTCTCCCTTCCTTGGGCAGAAGCTAACATTCCAGTACTGGCCTGTGGATCCACCATCTGCTCTCCAACCTCAGCATCCTCACTTAGGTGACCTACTTTGTGCAAACTGTCTTTGGCTGACGGTTCACTGGTTGAGATGCAGAGGGCAGGGAAGGCCCTATCCTTGCAGTCTGGCTTCCAAAGAAAGGAATTAGGGGAGGGAAGATCAAGAGCAGATGGTAGGAAGGCAGCCCATGCTGGGGCCCTCTCCAGATCCTGATAAAGAGAAGAGTTTCCTTGGGCAGGTGGGTGAATACCAGCATCAGGGCTTGGTCATGCTAAGCCCCTGAGCCAGGAGAGGTCTGGAAGGAGAGAGGCTCCCAGCTGCATGGGCACTCACTCACCATCAGTCATGAGGGTTTAGTAGCTTAGGCTGGAGCTACAGGTCACAGGGGCAGAGAAGGCAGACCCACCAGAAGGAGTCCTTGCCTCCCTCCTCAAATCTCAGGTAAGGCACAGCACAGGGTTCATTAGTGGAGGTAAGCCAGGCAGAGCAGATGTCGTCTCTGTCTAAACCCTCATCCCCATGCAAGTGGGAGCCCAGGGCTCTGGCTGGCCTAGGAACACTGTAATGAAAAGGGACAAGACCCAAAAAAGTATTCCAGAAGAGAGTACATTTAAGAAGCAAAAGAGAGGTCAAAGTGTCAAGGCCAAGGGTATGGCAGAAGAGACCCGGCTGCAATGCAAAAGACCTGGAACCAGGTCAGAGACACCAGAGGGAGCGAAGTCAGAGAGGGGCAGACAAGAGCCAGAGCCAGGAGGGGGCCGGGGGCTTTCCTGGGAGTCTGTGGGCTCTGTGCTGCGTGTGGAGAGAGCTGGAAGAGGCTGGCTGGTTCACTTAGCCATCTTGGAGACACGTGCCAAGCTCCTCTTTCACTCGTTGTCATACAGTACGACTCTCAAGCTACTATGTGCAGCTCAGGCCAGTGGCCTAATAGGATCAGCAAGAGCTTTGGATTCATTCCAACGTGGGCCAGCTTTGCTCCTTGTCAGGCCTCCAGTGTTCACAGCAGTGCGTGAATACAGCAAGCACTCAATGAATGCTCATGGAAGAGGCGAATTAAATCTCCACCCACACTCCCTTGCTGAGTGATGTTGAATAAGCCATTTAACACTCTAAGACTTGTCTTGGTGACAATAAAATACAATGTGACCTGGGCCCCTGGAGAGGTGCGATGTGGCGGCCCTAATTCACTCCCCTGTGTAAAGCAGGCAGTAATGCCCCTGCATGCCGAGTATTGTTCTTGGCTCTCTGGATGTAATTTCGTTTGGGGGGGTGGGGGCAGGCAGAGACAGAAAGAAATGGAAGGAGCAAATAAAGACCGTCGGCATGCTCCTGACTTCCTCGTGGTGAACTCGGGGCTCTCCAAGGGCGTCCCGGTGGCTGGGCCCAGCGTGGGTCTGGCACACAGCTCGTGGGGGCTGTTGGGGAAACTAACTGATATCTGCCAACCACACTCATCCTCTCCCCCAAGTCCCCTTGTTCCTGAAGCCTTTCAAAGGCATGCAAGTGTCGTGTCTGGCTCCTGCAGTTTGTGGGTGAAAAGAATGAGCAAGGATCAGAACTGAGCATTAATCCCCGCTC